CTTTTTTAGGTGCATCTTCAACTTGTGCTGACTGGATTTTTGAGCCAGAGTTACTCTGGTGCAATTTCTGATGGCCTTGAACATACTCAAAAGCACATATAAGTCCCTTACTCCAAAGATCATTCCCCAACATGAGATCTCGACTTGACTGGGTTTTATTCTCTTGCTTGTTCATCTGATTACTCAAGGATGGTAAATGATTGTCACTAGCAACAATCATAATGGGCTTCTACAAAGCAATAGATGGCAGTAAATTGAATCTGTGCATCCACTTGAGAAATATCAAGATAAGCCCTTTTCTCTCTTTTTCTTCTTTTAAATAAGTGAGAAAAGAGAGGAAGATGACAAAAAATGCATACCCTAAGAAGACCAGTACTACTAAACATTTTTTTTAATGTAACAGTAACAAATGTATTAAAATTGAGATACCAAGGGGATACTGCCCATGTATAAAATATTTATAAGTTAGTCATTATATCAACTATGTATCCAAAATCCTCCGTCACATGTAAATCATGGCCGCCCAATAAACTATACCCAAAATAATGAAACCACCTGTCCTTAACTTTGTGAATATCATTTTCGACACCCTCAAAAGCCCTCCTATCTCTCTTTCCATATAACCCAAAACAAAGTCAAAGGAATGATTGTTATAAATGCTCGTGAGAAGGACATCATAAGTTAAGTATCGAATGTCATCAACTCCAATCAGATTTTAAAAAATTAAAAATACCTGCTGTTATGTACTTCAACTACCATGCCACCACTCTTTGGCTGTAAGGAAAATTAAAATAATTAATCTTAAGAGTATTGTCAGCACTAAGCTAGTTGTTCCAAAGCATCAGGTCACCTTTTTCATCGGATGATGAACCAAGTATTGTTTGTGAACTAAAATTCAGAATAGGAGTAATTTCCAATTATCAGTTAAACAATAACTTATCATAGACCCGATATCTATAAATTACAAAGGGTAGGTGGCAAATGAGTAAGGGAAAATAGTTGTTGTCTGAGTCATGCATGATGTTAGAAGGAGAGATGACCAGCCTGGGTGATTTCCTAAATGATAGCAACCATATAAAGAAGCCAATTGCCTTCAGTTCTCAACATCATATTTCGCAATCTCAAAATGACTTCATTAGAAGGGAAAAAAAAAAAAGGCGGTAAGTCTCCCCAAATCACATAAAGATATAATTAAGTCAAACTAAAACTTGAAGTAAAGAACCAAATAGTCTACATTTCACATATTATAATACATGCAACAATTAGTCAACCAACAAAAGGAAGCTATAACTGAACATGCTAAAGTTACAGAAATAAACTCGAGAAAATTACAAGGTGTAAAAATATGAAGCAATAGAGGGATAACATACTCTTATATTTAATATGTATTTCTGCATATCATCATCGTTGCATCTTCTTGAATAATTAGAGTTCAACAAACTAATATTTTGTGAGATTAGAATTCCACTAATCTTTTGTGACATTTTACATAGAACATTTGGCTTAGAGCAAACTATACATTTGAATATTGCTTCTATCTGCACAAAAGGGAGTGCAAAGAAAGCAATGTAGAATGATCCGTGTCAGATAGATCAAGCAAAGCGCATTTGAGCTTTTAGCTCGAACTAAACCAAGGGGTGTTTTTCCAGCAATTTGGATGTGTAAGCAATCGTTTCCATTTAATTACTAACAGTTTATTCGATATACGTACCAGTAGAATATTCTATGGCAGGAAATGATTCTAATTTCCAGTACGTGCAGCGAAATTCCCCTACAACCGAAATGATGAAAACACGGGAAATGAACTGCAAAGAAACAAATAAATAAATGGAAATCAGAGAGAACGCCTAACTGTGATTATAAACAAATCAATAACACAATAAATCAACACCTAAACCCTAAAAAGACGGTTTGTAATCGACCATAAACAACAAATTTCTGTTTGGCTGCCGAGAAAGCAAAATATAGAAAACGAAGAAAACAAAAGGAAGTACAGCATAATGTAGCTAAAAGAAACTCATTACTCGTAAACCAAGGAAGAAAACGATCGATAAATCTCGTTTTCTTTTCGACGAATTCCCCAGGCACCAAACAGATAGGAAGAAATTGAAATATCCAAATGCGAGATGTCGCCTGAGCAATAATAGGAAGACTCTTTCTTCTCCATTGGAATAAGTAGTAGCTAAAACTAGGACTAGATTAGAGAAGGGACTAAGTTGCGGAAGCGGTGAGGTTTGGAGGAGCATGCATCACTGCACGTGGAGCTCGGTCTTCGTTGTTTGCAGAGGAAGGAATTGAGACGATGGTCAATGGAAATTGACCGTTTGATCGAGCTGGTCTGGAGTGGGAATAATTTATTTTTTTCAAGCTATTTGCGTAATAAATTCAAAATTTATGGGTGAATTTATAATTTAAAACTTTTATCTAAATTAATCAAAATTAAAAATTAATTATTTAAATACAATCTTATAATCCTCGATGCAAATTGTGATTAAAATAATTAATTATGATTATTTAAGACATAATTGAATTTCTTTTTCTAAGTATTTTTTATTTAAATCTACGAAGTTAGATAAGATTTTTAATTACTTAGAATCAGATACGATTTTTAATAAATAGATATTACATTATTAATTAAATTTATTTTATTATACTTTAACATTTAGTTAATAAAAGAATTAAGAAAGTTCTACATTATAATTTAATTACTTTTACATTATTATTTAGTAAATAATCACGACAAATGTGATTAAAATACTGGAAGACAAAGTACCCAAAAATCTTAAATTAATTATTAATTATTAATTAATCATGGTATTAGAAAAACCACAAGTGATTCGATGGATCCAAGCTCACACAAACCGTCGGGTCATCTCACCATCAGAACCGTTGACTTATATATCAAAGAGCGTTACCCTGGGCCCCATTGATGGACGGGTGGATCTTATCCGAAAGAGTCGGTTATGGTTTTAGCTGTCGTGGAGATTACATCACAGTCGGTGAGACCCGGAAGACGTTCTCAAATTACTGAAAATCAGTACACAAGGAGAAGAAAAGAAAAGGAAAAAAAAAGCCGCTGTGTGTATATATATATATATGTGCGTGTGTGTGTGTGTGTGTGTGTGTGTGTGTGTGTGTGTATATACATACAAAAAGGGAAAAAAGAAAAACACGCACAAATAAAAAATTGAAATTTTTCTCCTTTTTTTTTGTGTGTGTGTATATATATAATTGTGAGGAGGAGAGAGAATAGGTTATTGTTTGATCTGATAATCACCAAGGGGGAGCCGCAGAAACAGAGAGAAAAGGAATGGGGAGTGACAGCAAAACCAACGGTGGAAGTGCGGCGGAGGGGCGCAGATTCCGGGGACTGCGAAGAGGATAGTGCAGAGCTTGAGGGAGATGGTGAACAAGAACTGTACGGACGCTGAGATCTACGCCGTCTTTAAAGACTGTGCTATGGACCCTAACGAGGCCGCTCAGCGGTTACTATCTCAAGGTCCCTTTCCCTGTCCTTCTCTTCCTTTCTTTTGGTTCCTGGCTCTCTATCTATCTTCTTTGAAGTGAGATAATCCTTATGTTCTGTTGCTATCTGTTTGGTTTCCGAGAAAAAGGTTAACGGATAGTTGAAGAGTGGTTCTTTGTTTCTTGGGGGGACGAAGCCGCAACTTCTTTTTCTCCCTCGATAGATTGTGGCTTTGAAGATGATGCAAACGCTTGAATTTATGTTCAATCGAAGTCATTCTTTCAACGCCCGCAGTTTCCCCCTTCATTTTTTTTTTCTTTTGCTTTTGGTTTATTTTCTGTTGCGTTCTGCTTCTTCAGTGAGAAATTGTTCGTAAAGAGAAGTTCTTTCCATCTTTCTTTGGCGGATTACATCACTTTAATATCGTTCCAGCACGAGGCAATATAGGGTGCTTGTTTGTGAACGCTTTCGTTCTTCTCTAAATTTCTTCAGTGTCCAGTTTTTTTCTTTTTGGCTAATCTTTTGTGTTGCTTTTGTTTGTCGCTTTATACACAAAAAAGGACTTGAACCTTTATAATTTTTTAAAAAAAAAAATTTCCCTCGCTTAATAGCTAAACAAGGTGCCTGCAAGTTTTGTGGATTTTTGGTTTCTGCTTCAGGGTTTATTGGTTGCCAGAGAGACGAACTCAACTGCATACAAAGAAACTGAGAAGGCATTTTACGTTTGCCATATGCTTGGCTTTCGATACTACTAAACCGATTTCTAATCATGATATTGTATTATTTAGTTATCTTATAAGTATTTGGGGCTTGGTTGTCCTATGTATTGTTGAAGTGTAAAGCTTTGATGATAGTTCCACCGTTATTAACATTGATCCGAAAGGGTAAGCACTAAATACTTAGCATGTTCTGGTTGTGTAGATACTTTTCATGAAGTAAAGAGCAAGCGTGAAAGAAGGAAAGAGGTAACATCTCCAGATGCACCTATTTTTTAGTTTGATTTCTTTAGATTTTTGTCTTCAAGTCCACTCCTTGATTCATTGTTTTTCCTTTTCATGTTCTTCCCTGCCTAAAGGAATTGTTCTATAACCTTACATTTTGCACATTTGTCACATTGGCTTGAACTTTTCTTGTTTTTTTTTCTCCTTTGCATCATATGAACTTTCTGTTTTTATTAGCAATATTCATCAATATGCCAATTTGTCAGATGAAAGAGACACAAGAATCAAAAGCTCGCAGTAATGGCACTTCCAATTGGGGAGGTCGAGTTGGGAGTGAACATGGTGTTGTGAGAAGTGGATCAACGAATAGCAGCAGCACTATTGGTAGGGTCATCTAGCTTTTTAACAACTGTCTGCATCATACATATTTAGAATTTATACATCTTTTGGTACTGTATATAATTTGTTCTCCTCCTAACAGAGCTCGGTAAAGCTCCTTATCGAAAAGAGAATGAGTCTCTTGCTTCTTCACTCCATTCATATACTTCTATGTCTCATGCATCAATGAAAACTTTGAACGACCAAGCTTCATCATACAGGTTCGTTGAACTGAAGTCAATACTTCTTTTGTGCCCTTAGTTTTTGTTTTCTTTGAATGCATTGATTTGAATTTTCCTTGCAACAGAACAGTTCCAGAATGTGATAAGTTTAGATTGTTTAAACAAATTAAAAATTTCTATTATACTATTTTAGAAGTATATTATTTTAATTTTAGTAACTTTAGAATTATATTTTTTTAATATCAGTTTTTCTTATCTGTCTTAGTAGTATTATTTTCTAAACTCGTTAGTATTAATATTTCTTCGTTTAGTCTTATGCAGGTAAGTTTACTTATAGAACATTATAAATGTCTTTATAACTTCACTTTTTTTTTATACAAACTTCAGTTATTTAACAAATAGTTAGAAAGTTTGTCAATTTTTTAGTTGTGTGATGTAATCAACTCTTGAGTATGATGTTTAGGACTTTTTGGATGTGATATCTAATAACCTCTTGGTGTAATGTCTAGGTTTTTATTATCAAATCTTTAAGTAGGCAAATTAGCACTAATTTGTCTTGCCTCAACTGGTACCAAAGCTAAAAGTTCGTATGCTAGATATCCAAATGCAATGCCAAGACATGTTTGAGTTAAAAAAAATTCTCAAAAACAGAAACTCAAAGAAACCTAATTGCAAATCCTCAACACCCCAAACTGCCATTCACCCATCTGCTCACTAGCCATCGTTGACATTGAATGACATGCTAAACTCCTCAAGTCCCTTAATAGTATAATACCTTAGTTTATCCTTCAAGAATGATGCTTAAGAAGCCATTGGTTGAGTAAGTTAGAAAATCTTGAACAGTTTGTCTATTAATGCAAAACTTGCCTTTGAAATATCATAAAAAAAGGCCATAACATTGCAATATTTCATCTTACAAGTCCCTATATCTTTCCAAAGCAAAAATTGTATCCTCGTTCTAAGGTGTTTTACTCTTGCCCAAAGCAAAGCAAAGAGGATCATCCCATCCTCAACCATGTAATGTGGTTGAAATTGATACTTGAAATTTGTAGCATTATTTTTCAACAAAATGGCCCACACACCATAGAAAGTGTCCCCTTCAAACAGCACCTTATGCTCTGTTTTCCTTCCTGTATCCAAGTAGATTAAAAATCTTCAAGTTGGGGGAACTCTAGCACAACCCCAGACAAAAGAAACAATTCATTCCACCATGCATAGAAACACGTTAAACAAGTATAAGGAGAAAGAGCTCTATGAGTAGTTGACTTCCAAATAATTTGTTTTGGCTTTAATCCTATTTAAAACAATAGCCAAGCAAAAAAAAAAAAAAGATTTACATGTATAAACACCAAAGATTCAAGGCTCCAAGTTCACTTATTAGGAATATAGGTCGAATAAAAATTGTTAAGAATGTTCATGAAGACATGAAATCTCTCTTTTCTTTATCATTCATTCTTATATCATTCTAAGTTACGGGGAAGAAAAAAGTTCCAAATCGATTTCCTATCAGGAAATTCATAGAACTGGAGATAAGTGCAAAATGTCTCAAAGATGGATGATATAGATGAGGAAGATGAGTAGCGAAGCAAAAATCTTCCCTCCAATAATATTCTGAGAAGAGAAAATGAGATCCATTGCCCACCTTGCAAAGAAGCATAGGGGGAAAGGAATCAAGGAATGAATTTCTAGGGGCGTATGATGGTAGAATTGGCCTTGGTGTCCCAACCATTGTGGACTAACCTGAACTTTTCACTATCCTGTACCAGAGCAATTTAACCACAAGAGCAAGGTTCTTTGATGTACAATTGAAATACACATATTTTTTTATTGCAATATACATCCATCTATCTAGTTATTTCTAGAACTTCCTCTCACCCGAAATCACAGAAATCTCTCCCACAATTTTCTATATCAATCTGGATTTTAAACAAAGATACACACTAAAGAGGGATACAGGGAAGGCAAGCTTGAAGGGTGATGAACCAGCTCTTAAATCCTATCATCAAGATGCATGGACTGTACGGACTACCACCAACTTTTTTTAGAAAGCCAATACTGTAGTTTTTCATTGAATAAGGAATTCTCCGTATAACAAAAGAATTCTGGTTGTTATGGAAATACCTTTACCGAGGCATTCTAGCAAGTCAAGGTTCCCTTCAAAGGTGAAGGTTTTTGTGCTGCAATACCAAATTGGCTTAACACTAATGAGTTGCTACAAATTCATCGATTTAGTCTCTTGACATGTGGGTTTCTCTTCCTTCTTTGGATTGTTTCATGAGCACAGACTTTGGTGGTTTCCAGATTAAGGCCAGACTATTGTGGCGAGGAGTGTCTTTAGCTGGTCTTTGGACTATTTAGATAGAAAGAAATATGCAGATTTTGTAAGACTGTCCTTTGTAGGACAGCCTCATCTGGGACAAGACAACATATCTGGCTTTCCTTTGGGCCAAGACTCATGGGAATCCTCTGACATCTCCCTCACCGTCTTCCATAAGAGCTGGGATGCTATAGTCATGTGATTTGTTTTCTATTTACTTTTTTGTTCTCTTTTCCTTTTGTTTCAGCAGAATATCTTATCTGTTGTTTTTTTTTTTGTAATGTTCCCTTCTTTATCTTAATAAAATTTCTTTCTCTAGTTTTAAAAAAAGGAATGCTCCATTTTCAGAGTTTCCTCATGCATGTCCAATGTTGAATGGGAAAAAAGATTGTCCTTATAAATTAAGAACGCATCATTTATTACTCGGTGAAGGTATTTCATGAAAATGTCCGTTTTTGGAGCAATTTTTAGAAACTATGAAGTGTCAACATTAAAAGCTTGCTTAATTTTGTAAGTCATTCATGTACTCGGCGTATATTTTTGGAGAATTTTAATGATGATATCTATATTTTTTTTTTAAAAAAAAAAAGAGTTTCCTCATGCATGTTCCCATTCTGACTGTTCTTTTTTTCGAAAAGTTAATGTTCAAATTTTTCAATAAGAAGCAGCCTCTCTCCTCTTCACAATCAGACAAAAAGTCCTCCGCTCTCTCTTCCAAGTCTGTGGCCCTCAGACTGTGCGTACTTCTCATGTTTGACAGACATTGGATATTTGAAGTAAATCCTATGTAATTGTTCATTTTAGTATATGTTATATACTGGGGTTTATTAAGCTAAGAAATTTATGACCATATCTGGAGTTTTGTAGACATGACCTAGCTATGCCTGATCTTGTTCCATTTTACTGTGACTCAATTTCTGATTGATTATGATTTTTATTCATGTTAAAGAAATATGTTTAAGTAGCATTAAAAAGGAAATTATTTCAGGTGTGCCTGTAAATGAAGGTTTTGTAACATTCAATCATTACAAGTAGTTGATGCTCTACAGTGTTCTGACTCTACCCTTTGTTGGTTTGCTGCTTGCTGTAATATCTCATTATTTGTTTCTGCTTGTCTTAAATCCTTTGCAGTGATTCTTTAAATGCTGATAATGGTAGACAATCAGTAGGAACAGGTGATTATATCTCATCATCGGTGCCACCATCTCCAAGACTTCAACCTACTTTGTTGGCAGCCAACTCAGGGCATGTTTCCATGGCTGACATTGTGAGGATGGGTAGGCCTTACAATAAAGGTTCTCAAATATCAACTGATTCATCTCAGGATACAGTTGCCATAAACTCATCTCAGTACCATGCAAAACCTGCCCATGCCCCAACACCTCCTCGATCAGAGATGCATGAGGATATGCATTCTACACATCAGTCTGGTGTTCCAGAGGTTATTTTGGACGAACATGATTTTGATAATGAATGGCCGATGATTGAGCAAGTAACAGTTGCTACTCCAACACCTGCCTTTGATGCATCTGCCACAGTCTCAGATGCCAAGTACTATAATGAGTCTCTAGTACATGGCGATATAGCTAACTTTCCGGATAACTCCCGATTAGATGAAGCTGTAGCATCAAAGAGGACTTTTTCAGGTGAAAATGTTGATAACGATTTTACTTTGGCTGCTTCAGCCACTAGCAGACACTTACTGGTCACTGGAACTGAGGGAGCATTTAATGGTGATGGAAAGTTGCTTAACGATAAGAATTCCAGTGATTCTCATGGGTCCATGCATGAAAATCAAGAAGGTAATTATTCGTTTCCTTTATCTGTGTGGGTGTTCATCTTTTACTTCTTTTTGACCATCAAGTACCTTAGTTTTCTTTGGGATGCAAGTGCTGCAATTTGAAGGATGGCTATTCCATCTGCAATATCTACTTGTATTTTTTAAAAAATCCAAGTTGATAAAGGTGATGAATGGTGGTCACCTGAGTCTGGGGTAATCTATGATGTAGAAGTTTTGATTACTTGGTTTAGCAACTGATAGAGGCAAAAAGTTAATAATTATTTTATTTCTAAAAATCTAATCATTTATATTAATGCATCATTATCCCCCCAACTGTAGTGCTTACTTATGATCTGATGGTTATAAGGTTTCTAGGTTCTAGTGGCTAATGGACGGGGGAAATGGTTAAACTATTTATTTTGAAGATTTCCTTGCTGATTTTAATATGCGCCTCTCCCTAGTATTCTGTATTTTTGTGCGTTGTTAAGATTTGGGTTTGGGTATTGCTTAGAGTAATTAATGCATGTTATCCACTATACTCTATTTTGTTTCTGCTCTCCGAGGAAGTGGATTTTGCCACTGACTGGAATTTTCCTTTCTTTTTTTTCTTTCCTGCTTCTTTGATTTAGTTGAACTTTGTTTCCAGGTGATTCTGCATCTCTTACTGATGATGCCAGTGTAGCTGTATCGTCAGCTACTGTGAGTTTGCAGCAACTAAGCATAGAGAAGAATGAGCCGGTGGTTCCCCCTGCAGAAGATAACTGTGCGGTGGTGCTTCCAAATTATCTACAAGCCTTGGCTGCTGACTGTTCACATCTCAGTTTCGGTACCTATAGGTCTGGCAATGCTTCTGCTCCTTATAAGGCACCTGGATGTTATACCGTGATAAACGACTTGGAGGAGACCTCTGCAGGGAGAGATAAGCCACCTGCTGCACATTTAGACAGCAGGCATGAGTCGGTTGGCATAGTTCTATTAAATGTACACCTTGTTTCTTTTGTTTCATTGTACATTTTCCTTGCAGAAATTCAGGGTGTCATGGTGATAGTGATGTTGGAGACATGTATGATCATCATATAAAAGCTGCAGATACTAGGAACTGTGATTTGCCTGTAGCTGTACTTAAAGAGCTTCTGACCCAGAATATTCCTGAAGCAACTACAAGTCAAGAGCAAATCCCATCATCATCATCAGCAGATTCTAGTTTGAGGAATATCCAACAATCAAGTCAACCATCGACTTTCTTGATAGACTCACATGCTAGAAATATTTCCTACCTTCCAAATGAAGTGGTAATACCATTGCAACATGATATAATTCCTGTCTTTTTTCAATTTAGGTGTTTTTTTTTCTTTCCAAATGAATAGGAATTATCTGTCTGCATGAATTGCTATAAGTATGCAGAAATAATGTGAGCATGAATTTCTTGTCATGTTTGGATAGCTTTTATGATGCTGGCAGAAATCTATTTGGTTTCTCTGTCGCTCTTTTATATTGAATGCTTCTTTTGGTTCCAGGCAGGTTGATGAATTTAGCTGTATGAGAGAGCTTTTTTTTTGTGAGAAACGAGAATTATATAAACCAAGGCATGCAACCCAATTATGATAAGCTTTATAGATGAATCAAAATGTCAATAGGGTCTCTTATATTATGGAAGATTCTTGTAAGCATATCTTTTAGTTGACTAAGCAAGCATGGGTGGATTCTTATAAACATCAAATCAAACACCCTGTTAGAGTTATATATGACTAGTTCAATGTGCTGTAGACACATTTGCACATATGTGAGATATACATGTATCTTTAATGGTGTTACGATCTATGAAGCTGATGGCAGTTTGTTTGAGTATTTAGGTTTAAACCATTGTGTACAAATTTGTTTTCCTTTTTGGTAAAAAGGTTTGTGTTACTTTTATGACAAGTATGTAAACTTTTACATTTGCGATATTTACTTTTAAATTCCTTTTTCTTTCTTAAATGGTACATGGACTCCGTAGTTGCAACTTTGTGATCTTTTTTCTCTTTCTGGGTATAAGTTTATGCAATCAACTGCTGTTCTTTCTACTACTTTTGCATTTCTTTTCTTTTTATTGAAAGAAAAAAGACAGTATGTATAAAAAGGACACCTAGGGGATGCCAACTCTGTACAAAGAGTAAGAAACAGAAGTTAAAAGATAAATAAAGGTTCCAAGATCTCTCCAAAAAGGATAGGCTGACCTCTAAATCAAAAAAAGAAAAAAAAAAAAAAGAAAACTTGTGGTCTGGAACCAAAATAAGTAAAAAAACTTAAGGTCTGGAACCAAGGGTCTTTTAATATTAACAAATTAAGAGACTGTCACAAAAATTCAAATATTTTTTTCTTTTGGCATAACCCACAATATACTCTTGAACTTCAAACTGCAGAAGTCGGGTTAAATATAACTTCTAACTATACATTTATTCTTTTACAGCGGCCATACTCAAATTCTATTCCATTTGATTTGCTGGCAACAACTGTTCAATCTTTGCGACCAAGAGATTCTACATCCTTTCTAAGTGCACAGCCAATGCCTGCAAGATATGGCAGTACAATGAATAACCAGCCCATGTCTGTTTCAGAGGTAGGATCCTAGTTACTGATCTATGCTATCTGGAGGGGTGAAGAAAAGCTATTGACCATGTTTCATAACAGTTACTATTAGATATTTTGGATGGACATATTGCAAGTTCCCCACTATCACTGATTTGTGATTGTTGTGGTTTCGATGATAAACCTATAAGTCTGTCTTCAGGCTGCATTTGCTTCAACTGGGA